ACAAGAGTCAAGAATGACTCTGTGATTCACAGCATTTAGTGTGGACCCAGGACAGTTTGCTTAAAACTTAGCACTAGAAAAACTTTCTTTTTCCCCCTAAAACAGTGCTCTTTAAAAAAATTAGATAAAACAATTAAATTTTCTTCATGTTTCTCTAATTTTCCTTGACTATCAAAAAATTAAAAGCAATGTTTTATGTTCATTTGTAATAATGTTCTTAAGTCTAACTTTTCTAAATAATGATTTTCCTCTCCCTCTGCCTTTGTATTAATAGTTACCTCTTATTTTATTGCTCCTGTGATGATGGTTGGGGGGTTTTTGTATTTCTGCATTTTATTATAAGTCCCCCAGATCCTTTTTAGACATATAAGGATAAAACTAGATGTTAAAGTGGGACTCTTTCTGACTCAGTTTCAACTCAGACATAATATGATTGGTACCTGGGTATCAGAGTAAGACAATTCTTCCCCCTGCAATATGTAGAATTTATAAAGGGAATGAAAGCAAACCCCACTCTCCACTCACTTGTAGACACTTCAGCTAGGTCAAGGGTAAAATGAGGCGAGAGCGGGGAGAAGCAAGGATTTATGACAACATTTACAGATAGCTGTGGCCATTCTGTGAGTCCTTACCCATACTCTTTGCAGGAAGGATGGGGAGTGATGAAACTTTCTAACCTCAAGCCTGGTAAGGGGACTTCAGGGGAACTTCTAAGGGAGCTTTGAAATATATTTCTTGCAGTTGGAAGACACAAAGAACTGGTACCTGCCTCCAAGTGAGAAAGCTGAAGCTAACAATGGTCTAGAGTCTGACCCTACCCAGGAAATCTGTCAGGAAGAGAAAGGACAGCTGCTCTGTAGTGGAGACAGGAGAATCTTGCTACGTTGAGATGGGCTCATAGTCTCTTGGTCTGTAGGGGCAAGGCGTGTATATGAGTTATCTATAGGTAAATGTGAGACTCACGGGAGAGTCGTGAGCAGCGGAGTGACTCTCCCAGAATCACAAGTGAACCCTAGAATAAACATACATTGTTTCAGAATAAATACGCATTGTTTCAGGTCAAGGAATATATGTGTGCCGAGGCATCATTTATAGATTCTACCTGAAGGACATCCTTAAACTGCTATCCTATCAGTCAATCCGATTTTGGCTTTTCCTTCTCTCT